AAAAATGGACATTTTAATTGGTCTCTAAATCTCATACCCAGTCTGTATTTTTGGAAGGTGTATTTGTTTTTGTTTTTCTTAAAGTATCGGCATATTCAAGCAATTTTTTATTTACATGTCTAAGAGGTTCATGTTGAAGTCACTTGCTATGCTTGGATCACTAGATACATATCAGTATCAAAACACAAGCCTATCATTGAGTTAGGAGTTACACATGAATTAGAAATAGCTTCTCCTCTAATTTGGACATAGAGAAATATAAATATCATCTTTATCCTGAAGGAAATTTGATTTCTTGCCAGTTGGCCATAAAAAGAAACAGGTAATAAAAAACGACAGATGGAAAAAATTCCTCTTTTCAAAGAAGACAAAAAACTCCTTTATGAAACCAAACACTGCATTATATTGACAGGTGTTCCTTATATTTTGTCCCCCTTGTGATTGTTGATGGAGCGGACAAAATATAAGGAACAGCAGTGTACCATGACCACCCACTAATTCTTGAATAATAAATATAAAGACCAGTTATCTCCTTTCTGAACAAGTCAACAAAAACTGAAAATTCAGAAGCTTCCTGAAAGTAGAATTTGAAGAGGAGATGTTCTTTTGGTTGAGATTCGATTGTCCAGGTGTTCAGAGTTATGACTGGTTGGCGTTTAGTTTTTGTAATTCGTGAGATGCTGTGAAAAATGCTCTGGTTGGAAGACAAAGAAGAGGAGAGTGGCTGTTGTGAGCAAAATCGTTTCCACTGAAAGACAATTTTGATGGTAAGAAACCCGACAAATGGGGGATCATACTTTGCAAACTTCACAGAAGCCTCTTATCCTTGGAGGCCACCGTTGCCAAGAACAGTTGAAAGGGGGTATTTCAAGTTAGAATCAGACTCCTAGATATCGCTTAATTTTTTCCATTTCTAAACACTGCACCTTGAAGTCCCTGTCATTGATTGGCCCAGATAGTGCGGTTAGTCTAGTGAGAAATTCTGACAACAGAAAAACTCAACAAACATGCAACAAACCACAACAGTGATGGAAAAGAAAATGTCACTGACAGACTAATTTGTGGTTTTGCGGCTACATCCATGCTTGCTTTGTTAACATAGATTTTCTGTTCTAACTTTACTGCATGCTACTTTAATAAGGAGAGATTTGTTTGCACATAGTGGGAGCAGAACAAGGACTTTGTCACATCACTAAACTCACAATAAACGCTGGCTGAGTCCCTGAGGAAAGATTGCAGATTGTGGGTAGTGTGTAATTTGGTGTTGTGAAGTCTGCATCCGAGCCCTCATTGTCTTCAGAAGAGGGTCAGTCCTAAACACTCACACACTTTGACAAGTAAGTGCCCCAAAGTGATTGAGTGCAGATATTGATATTCGGCCAATATCACAGCTTGGCCCGCAGGTGGGCTTTGCTTTATATTTGATCTCCTGTCTTAGACAGTTCCTTCAGTCAAAACACTGTTTCGGCACCATTATAGTGTCAAATTTGTGTTGCTTATTCCTGCAATAATGTGTTATTGATTAAGTCATCACACAGGAAACCTGACACTGTGCAATTTGTGTGTATGGAAATGCTGCAAACACTGACCTGAAAGCAAAAAAAAAAACTTTAGTCAATATGTCCCCAGCTTTTTTTAGTCTTGTTTTTACTTATCCATGCTTTTGAGCATGAATTCAAGCATGAACATACAATGCACACAAGAAAAAGAGGCATATCCCATACATCAGTCAACTACAATTCAAGCAAAACACATTAGGCAAAACCATATTGTAGCATTAGATGACAATGAGTCACAGGTAAGTAAGTATCCTTTTAACTGCTGCTGTGTAAAATGTAGGAATTTACAAAGTAGTGATTGTGCTCCTTTGAGGATTTCATGCAGCTCTGGAGCATGACAGGAGCCATGATGTGTTGCTTTGTGACAGCATTGGTCACATTGCCAGGTGCTCTTTTCTCAATCCAGGTCAGTACCAATGCAGACACAATGAAAGCATCAGCAGGAGAACTCTTGAATGTCCATCAATATGCTTCGCTCCCCTCAGAGACGTGTGAAAAAGCCTTGTAGGAGCAGACAACAAGAGAGATGAAGTGTGTTATCGCTGAGAAAAAAAAACAGCCCAGTGTGTGAATGACAAGGCTCAGAGAGGCAGGAGGAGGACATTGCTTTGCCACGCTGACATTCCCTCCCAGGTTGGTATCTTTGTGACAAAGATATGGCAAACCCTGCGGCGTAGCAAACACACACTCACAATGGTGGGCTTCAAAGCTCTTGTCAAGCCACTTTAACCTCCACCTCTGCATGTGTGACCCTTAGTCCTCACTTTTTTTCCCTCCTTCCAGAGTTTCCAGGCGTCCTGTGCCGAGCCAGGTAGTTCTAATCCGCCTCTGTGCTGGATGAGCTGTGGGTGTGACACAGCAGATGGAAGGAGCGGTGGGAGACTCGGTGAATCTTTGAGTCCCACAGCGAGTCCCCTGGGCTCCGAGTGGAAAGTGACCGCGGTAATTAATCCATTTTTACCCACTTTTTTATCCTCTAAATATTGAGCCTTGCGGGAAGAGTGCTCACTGAAGGACACACGTACAGCAAAATACATTTTCAGCGCTTTTTCACCCTCTTGAAGTGCTCTGGGAGGAAGGTAATGTGTGCTTCCTGTACTGTGATAGCCACAGCAACATGATCATTACAGCTATAAGTTATTTTCATTTGTCATGTAATCTGACATTAAACATAACCAGCTCGTTTAGTTCAGAATTACTCTTTCTTCCTTTGAGTTAGGCAGCTGCTGTGTTGCAGTGGGTGTGGAAAACGATGGCTCTTGGGCGTAAGTTGTTTTTCTCAAGAAGGCCATGCAAAGGACCTTCATTATAGGGCCAAACCAATCCCAACACTTACCACCACAGACTGTTTAGAAAGGACAAAAGGCCCTCAATTCGACCCATTATGAGATGTGAATACCGCCTCACTTGGTGCTGACACACTGCGCTGGTGTAGCGAAGTTATGAACAGAGGCAATCTGGCTGGTGGAGGCAAGACAGACGCCACACTTCATCCTTTAAAAACACCAAAACACTATTTGTTTGAATGTCAATGGTCTCTTAGGTCAATAATGTTAGCAGCACAACTGGTTCTTGTGGACACTGGTGGTTCATTGGCTACCTGCACCCATATAAGTCAACAGAGTTGTCAATCGATTGTTTTTTTCTTTTACAAAGTTAAAACAGGTTCTTAAACCCTTAAATCGGCATGATGTGAACTCGGCTACATGAATCTCATTTCAGGAAAAAATTTGGGGGATATTTTATCATCTAGAAATTCAGGTATGGTGTGGAGAATCAGAACAGATTTGGTCAAAATGGGATATGATATTTGTAAGTGTTTGAATTAGTTAGGGTGACCATATTCTAAATTCCTGAAAAGAGGCACGACTACGCGTCACAGAGTCGCACAAAGTTAATTTTGAGAGTTTTTCGGGTCGGATCAAGTGTCTTTTACGCACTTCTAACTCAGTAATTCCATGTGACACAGACTCAAATCTTCCATACAAAACCGTGGACATTTGAAGGATTTTATAAACTTCCCCGGGCAAAGCCAGACAAGGCTGGACAGCCCCCAAAAAGAGGACATGTCCTGGTAAAAGAGGACGTATGGTCACCCAAAATTAGTGTATAATCACCTGGATATAAATATCATTTCATTCTTTGTTACCATTGATAATTGATTCTGATTGGCCATTTATTCATAGCAATGGTCTGGCATTCCTTGATAGCAGACCATTGCTACAGTCACAGAGTTGCTGTTTGTAACTGTGATTATATCAGCACGCATTTGGTTGATTTAATCTCAGTCTGTTTGAATGGAATAGAGAAAGGAGACAAAAACAGGAGTTCAAAGAGGTTAAACTAACTGGATAAGACTAAGAAATCTAATGAATTAAAGAAAGCATGTGATATAAACACTTGAGGGAGCACATACTGTACAGTGAGGCATTTAAAGGTGGATAAATGGGAAAGAAAATGTCACAAGCTAAATAATGAGGAAGCTCTGATTCATGCGATCTTGTTGACCTTGTTCTGCGTCACCTGCTGTGTAAATGCTCAGTTTCATGAGAGAAGTAAAACTAGAATCTCTCAATTTTAGGAAGGCCATGGTTACTTTGAGTTATTTTGAGCTGTTACTGTGGTTTGAGCTCAGTATATCTGTTGAACTGAATACATAAAAAGTTGTATTTTTTATGAAAATTTAGTCTTTTACTTAGAGAGATAAGAAAGTGGTCTGAGTGGGAAACTGGGAAGAGAGGGAGTGGGGAATGAGATATGAAAAAGGCCAACAGGTTCAAACTGAGCCTGGGCTGCAGACTACAGGAGTAAAAGGATCCACTGATTTAAATTGTAAGCTGAATCAGAGGCCCAGGAGCCTCTTTCAATGGAATAAATATAAAGTAATTCTTATATTTATATAGTTCTTTTTTGATGTGCAAGTGTTGATTTATTAAAGCACCTGTGAGGAACTTTTTGTTTATGTTGATTTTGGCGCCCCCTGTGGACAAAGTGGTAACCCTTAAGTGTTGTTAATTATAGATAGAATTACCTCCTGTTGTTCCTTTACAGAGAAAGTATCACTGCATACTGCAGTCGGCAGGAGTATGCAGTAGGCCAATTCGAAAACAGCCGATGTTTCTTTTGCGCACCTACCCCTTCACAGCTGTTACAGCCATTAAATATTATTTTACAGGAATATTTGCTTTAATGCATCATAGAGACACATACTACCTGTTCATTTCATCTTCTGTTTTATAAGCAATCAAAAACTCCTCATGTTAGCTTTTTGAAACTAGCAGTGTAATGAATGCTGTAGAAACAACAAGCAGTTTGTTCAAGTTGGCCTATTATTTAAGGCACAAATCACTTTCCTTACTACAAAATTTCTATGTCAGAACATCTCCAGAGTCAAAGGACTCTTCAGAGGACGCAATGCCACTGAAATTTTAGTCACTTTGCATCTTCAGTGGAGTATAAACTGTCTGTGTGCTCCTGTGAGTTTTTCCTTTACTTCCTGACACTCTCACATGACACGTCCTCTCTTGAGATGCTCTGGATTGCCAGGCCAAATCAACTTGAAGCTCAGTGGATCACCTTAGCTACATGGTAACACAAGGTTTCTGTCCCTGCAAGAGAAAGAGGGGAGTTTATCTTAGAGCTTGCTGCTTTATCTTGCTCCGACACTTTAATGAAGGGCACTTCAGTCAGCTGTGTGTGTGACTTCAAACCGAGTGGGTGAGAGGAGGGTCAAATTTGAGAGAGCTCTCTTTTAATTCAGCTAATTTAGTTGTTTATTTGTGCTCAACCTTTATTTATTTTTTAAAGAAATCCTTGCCCTGGTATCAAAACCCTGTGTTTCTTTTTAGCTGATCCACAATCGGGATAGTAATGTTCAAGCAAGAGAAGCTGAGAGAAAAAACATTTAAATTCATGCCTGAGTTTTATGTAGATATTCCTCATGAATCAATCAAGTTCCTCTGTAAAGTATAAAATATTCCAAGAGACTGGAAAGGATAATCTTCTTAGAGAATACATTTAAATGTAGGATGTATCGGATGTTTGATGGATGTAGTCTTACTCTTCAGTCTTCAGCCAAGCTTCAACCTTTTGTTGCATTAACTATCATGTGATAGAAATGTGCAAATCAAGTTTGCTGCACAACCATCCTCATCTTTTTGTACCCAAGAGCACATCTGCAAGCCGTCACAGAGAAACCCAGAAATTGGTCGAAATAATCACATTTTTCTCCCCCTCCTGGCGATTCCCTCCTTATGAAATCTGTTCAGATCTCGCAGGTTGCACAGAAATTTCCATGTTGCATCATAATGAAAACATTGGATCAAAGGAAGAAACTCTTTAAAATCTGTCTCTATAGATTAGCAGTGAACCAGTGAGTATTAATTCACGGAGAACAAAAGGGGGTGGTGTGCTGCACAACTGTGTACAAGACACAGAATTAAGCTTGTAGACAGCCAGGTGCACAACATAATAACTCTCAACCGTATCCATAAACAGGAAAAAAATGCAAAAAAAGGCAGTTTACAGCAGCAGCATCTAGGTAAAAATAATCAAAAGTGATTCATCTCTTCGCTTCGATTAGTTTTCACCCTTGAGGGGAAGTGACCTCCGCTCAACAGAGGTCAATAGTGCAAAGGTCAAGACAGTAAAAATGACTGACTCAAAGAGCTGACGGTGAGTATTTTACTCAGCCTGACACTGCTTTTAATGGAATTATTCCTCTGATTTAGGATTTGCCTTTTTATTGCCTCATAAAGATTGGGACACAAAATTCAAGTCCTTCCTTTTTCCAAGGATGCTTCATATGATTTCCCTCTGAGATTAAAGGTGAACTCCTGAGAATAAAATAAAACTCATTTCATGAGTGTATTCATATAAAGGTGCTTTTAAGCCGACGAACAAAATCTATGAAGGACACAGTGAGCTGACAACTGAAAATGTCTCAAATACTGACAGACTCATTAAAGAAAGCCAAATTTCTACTGTGTGCCTCTCTCTCAACCCGCCTATCCACCAACTTATATTTGACTGACATTGCTTTTAACAATTAGAAATTTTTATTACATAGAAAGGTTAGCTTTCTTAATTACATTGATGCTTTCTCTGGCCATTAACCTTCTCTAGATCAAGAAGTGGCTGATTCATTTTTGGTAGATCTATGTCCTTTTTTTCTATTTTTGTATTAAGTTCCTACAAGGAACTTTTGATGTTGATGATTAGGACAAAAAATCATATATCTGCCTTTTTATGACGTCCATGACAAAACAAGACCACCAGCAACAAATTAGAAGGTTTCTATATACTACTCCTAATGCCTAAAACTGTTATGAGGGAGTAGGTGTCAGTCCAGCAGTTGAAGAGACAGCCCTGTTTTTACAATTTCTGTCTTAATTATTTATTATAAATGATACATTTGATTATCAAAAGTCAGCAGGATGAGTTTTTTATTTGTCAAAAGTAGTAACGCAAGCATGCAAAGGACAAGATAGATAAAGACTATTTTGTCCACAGGGGGTGCCAAATGTGACTCACACCAAAAGTTCCTCACAGGAGCTTTAATGATGAATGATGATGAATTTACTATTTTTCAAGAATCAAAGACAACCTGATTGTTTTTTAAGGATAGTTTTTACTGCCTTAAGAACAGCTGGATTAACTAAAAGAAGTAATTAGTTATCATAAACACATAACAGTATGCTTGTAAAAAGGCAGCAGACTGCAGGGATCACTATTTTTTTTTACATATGTATAAATCAGGGTTTGGTTTGGCTAAGAGGTTCAATTGTGTTCTCTGTGTACAGAGGCTGTTGTCCTCAAAGTGGACAGAGTGGGTTCAGTTATAATTAACTTTATTTATAGACCACTTTCCAAAAACAAATTACAAAGTGCTTTACAAGGGCAGTGAAATAAAACAAGAAGGTCGTAAAATCACACAAGGAAAGATCAAGAAATAACACACATTATAAAAGACAATAAATTCATTTAGAAGATCACTGAATAATAAGAGTCCTAAAAGAGTTTTGCAAATCAATTACAGCAACTAAAATAGAAATTCAAGTAAATTCACAATCTCCTTGGGTAGATTGTTCCTGAGTTTAAGACCCCTCACTGTAAATGCTCTATCCCCTTTAGTTTTCAGTCTGTTTTTTGGCACACTCAGTAGACCTCTGCCTGAAGATCTCAATGTAGATGTCTGCTTGCTCACTAATGCATGGTACTAATAGGTCTGATAGGTGACCAGGAGACGGACTACTGGGGGCTTTAAAAGTAGTCAGTAAAATCATAAAATTAATTTTTAAAGTGATGTGATCATGTGTTTTGGGTCCAGTTACAACCCTGACACATGAGTTCTGGGCAGTCTGGAGACAGTTTCTGTTTTAGTAATCAATGCTTGATGAGATAAAAGCATGTTAAATTACCTCAGTGTCTTTAAAAAGTTAAATACAAAAAATTATAGACGCCTTTCTGAGATGATAAAAACATGACTGTATTAATCTTTTTATGTGCTTTTTGGATGCTAAATCACTGCCAAACCAAAAACCAAGGTTCTTTGCAGCAGGTTTGATACGCTCCAACAGCTGATCAGTCGATGGCAGCTTCTGCTTTGTCATTTGCTCTGGTCTAATTAAAATAATCTCTGTTTTGTTAAATTTCAGGTGTAAAAAGTTTGTTTGGATCCAATTTTGAATCTCTGACTGACAATCATTTATTGAACTCAGCATGTCAGTGTCTGTGTGTCTAACAGAGAGGTATAACTGAGTATCATCAGCATAAAAATGAAATAATAACCCATGGTTGTCTATGACATTGGGGAGCATTTATAAAGAAAAAAAATGGGACCAAAACAGACCCCTGAGGCACACCATATTTATACAATTTCAATCAACACCCCCTTTGCTACATTTGCTATATATCATTCTTCATTTTCTGTCCTTTACACTATCACATCTCTGTCTCTTCGTTTTTGTCTCATGCTGGTTTAAAGAGCCAGGTAATAAAAGAGTTGCAAGGCACAGATGTGAGAGGAGAGCAGGCGCTACTTCACTCTGATCATCTCTGGTTGGGAAAAGTGGAGCAGAGCTGGTGAGTGCATCTGTAAGATGCTGATAACTACAGACTCACTTCAACCATCAGGGGTAAAGATGAAAGCAACAGTGTTTAAAGTTGTAACATTTGTCTTGTGTATGATTAATTATGTGTAAGCAAAGCTCCAAGGAGAAGGAGAGCTATTCATGTTGATAGAAGTGTCAAGATGAATATTCCTGCTGTCCTGTTCACTTTTTTTAGGGAAACTTAAGAAGACATGTTCAGTCTGACAGAGTGTATCAAATAAGCAGGCCTATATTTTAACTGGACAGTGAATTAAAATGTTTCTTTTTTTGTTTATTTACCCTGTGAGAAGTCGGATAGCATCTATTGCCATGGAAAAATGGTTGACAATGAAACCAGAGACCAGAGTTTTTTTAAACTATACATGCAAATCATTGTAAAATCAATGACCTCACACTGTAATCAATAATTTGTTCCATATTGTTTATGGCACAAATTAGGGAGTATTTGCATAACAACCTGCTCACCATACATCATTTAAAGGTCGATTGAAATGGATAAGATATTTTCGTAGAATGATTATCCACACTATTAAACCTTTATTAGCAGTATCAAAGACCCAGAGCACAGACGTTTCTACCACAAGTTTTTTCTTTTCACCCAGCCTAAAAGTCCTGATTATCAGTAGGGCTGGGCTTTTCATTGACCATGTGGGTGAAATAGTTGTGTTGGCTAAGTGTGTTGTCTCAGCCACTATGTTTTCTGTTTATGTTTGCTTATAAGCACCTTCATAGCTCAGTTGGTAGAGCAGAGGACTGTAACAAGTTCCTCATATGAAACGCTGTGATGCAAAGGTCACTGGTTCAACTCCCGCTCGAAACACCTGATTTCATTGCTTTGTGCAATGTTCAAGCATTGTCTTCATCTGTCAGCTCCTCCAAAATTTCAAAACACAAACAAAGTAACTTATCAAAAATCATTTTTTCATTCACCCAGCCTAAAAGTCCTGATTATCAGTTCTGGGTCCCTGGCAATGACTGTTGGGTACAAACTGCAAAGCTTTGTTGTGCAGGTAGGGCTGGGCTTTTCATTGACCATGTGGGTGAAATAGTTGTGTTGGCAAAGTGTGTTGTCTCAGCCACTATGTGTTCTGCAGTTATGACTATATGCATCTTCATAGCTCAGTTGGTAGAGCAGCGGACTGTAAGAAGTTCCTCATGTGAAACGCTGTGATGCAAAGGTCGCTGGATCAACTCCTGCTCGAAGAACCTGGTTTCCTTGCTTTGTGCAATGTTCAAGCCTTTTCTTCTTCTGTCTACTCCTCCAAAATGTAAAAACACAAACAAAGTAACTCCTGCCTAACTTTCCATGATTTTTTCATTCACCCAGCCTAAAGGTCCTGATTATCAGTTCTGGGTCCCTGGCAATGACTGTTGGGTCCAAACTGCAAAGTTTTGTTCTGCAGGTAGGGCTTGGCTTTTAATTGACCATGGGTTGGAATAGTTCTGTGGGCATAGTATCTCTCCTAAGCCACTATGTATCCTGCAGTTTTGAGTAGAGAGCACCTTGATAGCTCACTTGGTTAAGCGGTGGACTCTAAGATGCTCCTTGTGTGAAACGCTTTGATTCTAAGGTTGTTGTTCAACTCCACCTCAAAGCACCTCTTTGTAACTGGTAATACCCCCAAACCTTGTCTTTATCTGTCAACTCCTCCAAAATGTAAAAACACAAACAAGATAACTCTTTCTTAAATTTTCAACCATCAATTTTTTATTCACCCAGCCTAAAGGTCCTGATTCTAAGTTCTGGGTCCCTGGCAATGACTGTTGGGTCCAAACTGCAAAGCTTTGTTCTGCAGGTAGGGCTTGGCTTTTCATTGACCATGGGTTGGAATAGTTCTGTGGGCATGGTATCTCTCCTAAGCCACTATGTATTCTGCACTTGTGAGTAGGGAGCACCTTGATAGCTCATTTGGTAGAGCAGATGACTGTAAGATGCTCCTTGTGTGAAAAGCTGTGATCCTAAGGTTGCTGGTTCAACTCCATCTCCAAGCACCTCCTAGTCATTGGAAATACCCTCAAGCCTTGTCTTTATCTTTCAACTCCTCCAAAATGTAAAAATACAAACAGGATAACTCTTTCTTAAATTTTCAACCATCAATTTTTTATTCACCCAGCCTAAAGGTCCTGATTCTAAGTTCTGGGTCCCTGGCAATGACTGTTGGGTCCAAACTGCAAAGCTTTGTTCTGCAGGTAGGGCTTGGCTTTTCATTGACCATGGGTTGGAATAGTTCTGTGGGCATAGTATCTCTCCTAAGCCACTATGTATTCTGCAGTTGTGAGTAGAGAGCACCTTGATAGCTCAGTTGGTAGAGCGGTGGACTGTAAGATGCTCCTTGTGTGAAACGCTGTGATCCTAAGGTCGCTGGTTCAACTCCAGCTCCAAGCACGTCATTGTAAATACCCCCAAGCCTTGTCTTTATCTGTCAACTCCTCCAAAATGTAAAAACACAAACAAGATAACTCTTTCTTAAATTTTCAACCATCAATTTTTTATTCACCCAGCCTAAAGGTCATGATTTTAAGTTCTGGGTCCCTGGCAATGACTGTTGGGTCCAAACTGCAAAGCTTTGTTCTGCAGGTAGGGCTTGGCTTTTCATTGACCATGGGTTGGAATAGTTCTGTGGGCAAAGTATCTCTCCTAAGCCACTATGTATTCTGCAGTTGTGAGTAGAGAGCACCTTGATAGCTCAGTTGGTAGAGCGGTGGACTGTAAGATGCTCCTTGTGTGAAACGCTGTGATCCTTAGGTTGCTGGTTCAACTCCAGCTCCAAGCACCTCCTTGTCATTGAAAATACCCCCAAGCCTTGTCTTTATCTTTCCACTCCTCCAAAATGTAAAAACACAAACAAGATAACTCTTTCTTAAATTTTCAACCATCAATTTTTTATTCACCCAGCCTAAAGGTCCTGATTCTAAGTTCTGGGTCCCTGGCAATGACTGTTGGGTCCAAACTGCAAAGCTTTGTTCTGTAGGTAGGGCTTGGCTTTTCATTGACCATGGGTTGGAATAGTTCTGTGGGCAAAGTATCTCTCCTAAGCCACTATGTATTCTGCAGTTGTGAGTAGAGAGCACCTTGATAGCTCAATTGGTAGAGCGGTGGACTGTAAGATGCTCCTTGTGTGAAAAGCTGTGATCCTAAGGTTGCTGGTTCAACTCCAGCTCCAAGCACCTCCTTGTCATTGGAAATACCACCAAGCCTTCTCTTTATCTTTCCACTCCTCCAAAATGTAAAAACACAAACAAGATAACTCTTTCTTAAATTTTCAACCATCAATTTTTTATTCACCCAGCCTAAAGGTCCTGATTCTAAGTTCTGGGTCCCTGGCAATGACTGTTGGGTCCAAACTGCAAAGCTTTGTTCTGCAGGTAGGGCTTGGCTTTTCATTGACCATGGGTTGAAATAGTTTTGTGGGCAAAGTATCTCTCCTAAGCCACTATGTATTCTGCAGTTGTGAGTAGAGAGCACCATGATAGCTCAGTTGGTAGAGCGCTGGACTGTAACTTGCTCCTTGTGTGATACGCTGTGACCCTAAGGTTGCTTGTTCAACTCCAGCTCCAAGCACCTCCTTGTCATTGGAAATACACCCAAGCCTTCTCTTTATCTTTCCACTCCTCCAAAATGTAAAAACACAAACAAGATAACTCTTTCTTAAATTTTCAACCATCAATTTTTTATTCACCCAGCCGAAAGGTCCTGATTCTCATTTCTGGGTCCCTGGCAATGACTGTTGGGTCCAAACTGCAAAGCTTTGTTCTGCAGGTAGGGCTTGGCTTTTCATTGACCATGGGTTGGAATAGTTCTGTGGGCATAGTATCTCTCCTAAGCCACTATGTATTCTGCAGTTGTGAGTAGAGAGCACCTTGATAGCTCAGTTGGTAGAGCAGTGGTCTGTAAGATGCTCCTTGTGTGAAACGCTGTGATCCTAAGGTTGCTGGTTCAACTCCAGCTCCAAGCACCTCCTTGTCATTGGAAATACCCCCAAGCCTTCTCTTTATCTTTCCACTCCTCCAAAATGTAAAAACACAAACAAGATAACTCTTTCTTAAATTTTCAACCATCAATTTTTTATTCACCCAGCCTAAAGGTCCTGATTCTCATTTCTGGGTCCCTGGCAATGACTGTTGGGTCCAAACTGCAAAGCTTTGTTCTGCAGGTAGGGCTTGGCTTTTCATTGACCATGGGTTGGAATAGTTCTGTGGGCATAGTATCTCTCCTAAGCCACTATGTATTCTGCAGTTGTGAGTAGAGAGCACCTTGATAGCTCAGTTGGTAGAGCGGTGGACTGTAAGATGCTCCTTGTGTGAAACGCTGTGATCCTAAGGTTGCTGGTTCAACTCCAGCTCCAAGCACCTCCTTGTCATTGTAAATACCCCCAAGCCTTCTCTTTATCTTTCCACTCCTCCAAAATGTAAAAACACAAACAAGATAACTCTTTCTTAAATTTTCAACCATACATTTTTTATTCACCCAGCCTAAAGGTCCTGATTCTCATTTCTGGGTCCCTGGCAATGACTGTTGGGTCCAAACTGCAAAGCTTTGTTCTGCAGGTAGGGCTTGGCTTTTCATTGACCATGGGTTGGAATAGTTCTGTGGGCATAGTATCTCTCCTAAGCCACTATGTATTCTGCAGTTGTGAGTATAGAGCGCCTTGATAGCTCAGTTGGTAGAGCCGTTGACTCTAAGATGCTCCTTGTGTGAAACGCTGTGATCCTAAGGTTGCTGGTTCAACTCCAGCTCCAAGCAAGTCACTGGAAATACCCCCAAGCCTTGTCTTTATCTTTCCACTCCTCCAAAATATAAAAACACAAACAAGATAACTCTTTCTTAAATTTTCAACCATCAATTTTTTATTCACCCAGCCTAAAGGTCATGATTTTAAGTTCTGGGTCCCTGGCAATGACTGTTGGGTCCAAACTGCAAAGCTTTGTTCTGCAGGTAGGGCTTGGCTTTTCATTGACCATGGGTTGGAATAGTTCTGTGGACATAGTATCTCTCCTAAGCCACTATGTATTCTGCAGTTGTGAGTATAGAGCACCTTGATAGCTCAGTTGGTAGAGCAGTGGACTGTTAGATGCTCCTTGTGTGAAACGCTGTGATCCTAAGGTTGCTGGTTCAACTCCAGCTCCAAGCACCTCCTTGTCATTAGAAATACACCCAAGCCTTCTCTTTATCTTTCCACTCCTCCAAAATGTAAAAACACAAACAAGATAACTCTTTCTTAAATTTTCAACCATCAATTTTTTATTCACCCAGCCTAAAGGTCCTGATTCTAAGTTCTGGGTCCCTGGCAATGACTGTTGGGTCCAAACTGCAAAGCTTTGTTCTGCAGGTGGGGCTTGGCTTTTCATTGACCATGGGTTGGAATAGTTCTGTGGGCATAGTATCTCTCCTAAGCCACTATGTATTCTGCAGTTGTGAGTATAGAGCACCTTCATAGCTCAGTTGATAGAGCGGAGGACTGTAAGATGCTCCTTGTGTGAAACGCTGTGATCCTGAGTTTACTGGTTCAACTCCAGCTCCAAGTACGTCATTGTAAATACCCCCAAGCCTTGTCTTTATCTTTCCACTCCTCCAAAATGTAAAAACACAAACAAGATAACTCTTTCTTAAATTTTCAACCATCAATTTTTTATTCACCCAGCCTAAAGGTCATGATTTTAAGTTCTGGGTCCCTGGCAATGACTGTTGGGTCCAAACTGCAAAGCTTTGTTCTGCAGGTAGGGCTTGGCTTTTCATTGACCATGGGTTGGAATAGTTCTGTGGGCATAGTATCTCTCCTAAGCCACTATGTATTCTGCAGTTGTGAGTAGAGAGCACCTTGATAGCTCAGTTGGTAGAGCAGTGTACTCTAAGATGCTCCTTGTGTGAAACACTGTGATCCTAAGGTTGCTGGTTCAACTCCAGCTCCAAGCACGTCATTGGAAATACCCCCAAGCCTTGTCTTTATCTTTCCACTCCTCCAAAATGTAAAAACACAAACAAGATAACTCTTTCTTAAATTTTCAACCATCAATTTTTTATTCACCCAGCCTAAAGGTCCTGATTCTAAGTTCTGGGTCCCTGGCAATGACTGTTGGGTCCAAACTGCAAAGCTTTGTTCTGCAGGTAGGGCTTGGCTTTTCATTGACCATGGGTTGGAATAGTTCTGTGGGCAAAGTGTCTCTCCTAAGCCACTATGTATTCTGCAGTTGTGAGTAGAGAGCACCTTGATAGCTCAATTTGTAGAGCGGTGGACTGTTAGATGCTCCTTGTGTGAAAAGCTGTGATTCTAAGGTTGCTGGTTCAACTCCAGCTCCAAGCACCTCCTTGTCATTGTAAATACCCCCAAGCCTTGACTTTATCTTTCCACTCCTCCAAAATGTAAAAACACAAACAAGATAACTCTTTCTTAAATTTTCAACCATCAATTTTTTATTCACCCAGCCTGAAGGTCCTGATTCTAAGTTCTGGGTCCCTGGCAATGACTGTTGGGTCCAAACTGCAAAGCTTTGTTCTGCAGGTAGGGCTTGGCTTTTCATTGACCATGGGTTGGAATAGTTCTGTGGGCATAGTATCTCTCCAAAGCCACTATGTATTCTGCAGTTGTGAGTATAGAGCACCTTCATAGCTCAGTTGATAGAGCGGCGGACTGTAAGATGCTCCTTGTGTGAAACAATGTGATCCTAAGGTTGCTGGTTCAACTCCAGCTCCAAGTACGTCATTGTAAATACCCCCAAGTGTTGTCTTTATCTTTCCACTCCTCCAAAATGTAAAAACACAAACAAGATAACTCTTTCTTAAATTTTCAACCATCAATTTTTTATTCACCCAGCCTAAAGGTCCTGATTCTAAGTTCTGGGTCCCTGGCAATGACTGTTGGGTCCAAACTGCAAAGCTTTGTTCTGCAGGTAGGGCTTGGCTTTTCATTGACCATGGGTTGGAATAGTTCTGTGGGCATAGTATCTCTCCTTAGCCACTATGTATTCTGCAGTTGTGAGTAGAGTGCACCTTCATAGCTCAGTTGGTAGAGCGGAGGACTGTAAGATGCTCCTTGTGTGAAACGCTGTGATCCTAAGGTTGCTGGCTCAACTCCAGCTCCAACCACGTCATTGGAAATACCCCAAGCCTTGTCTTTATCTTTCAACTCCTCCAAAATGTAAAAACACAAACAAGATAACTCTTTCTTAAATTTTCAACCATCAATTTTTTATTCACCCAGCCTAAAGGTCATGATTTTAAGTTCTGGGTCCCTGGCAATGACTGTTGGGTCCAAACTGCAAAGCTTTGTTCTGCAGGTAGGGCTTGGCTTTTCATTGACCATGGGTTGGAATAGTTCTGTGGGCAAAGTATCTCTCCTAAGCCACTATGTATTCTGCAGTTGGGAGTAGAGAGCACCTTCATAGCTCAGTTGGTAGAGCGGTGGACTGTAAGATGCTCCTTGTGTAAAACGCTGTGATCCTAAGGTTGCTGGTTCAACTCCAGCTCCAAGCACGTCATTGTAAATACCCCCAAGCCTTATCTTTATCTTTCCACTCCTCCAAAATGTAAAAACACAAACAAGATAACTCTTTCTTAAATTTTCAACCATCAATTTTTTATTCACCCAGCCTAAAGGTCCTGATTCTAAGTTCTGGGTCCCTGGCAATGACTGTTGGGTCCAAACTGCAAAGCTTTGTTCTGCAGGTAGGGCTTGGCTTTTCATTGACCATGGGTTGGAATAGTTCTGTGGGCAAAGTATCTCTCCTAAGCCACTATGTATTCTGCAGTTGTGAGTAGAGAGCACCTTCATAGCTCAGTTGGTAGAGCGGTGGACTGTAAGATGCTCCTTGTGTGAAATGCTGTGATCCTAAGGTCGCTGGTTCAACTCCAGCTCCAAGCACGTCATTGGAAATATCCCCAAGCCTTCTCTTTATCTTTCCACTCCTCCAAAATGTAAAAACACAAACAAGATAACTCTTTCTTAAATTTTCAACCATCAATTTTTTATTCACCCAGCCTAAAGGTCCTGATTCTAAGTTCTGGGTCCCTGGCAATGACTGTTGGGTCCAAACTGCAAAGTTTTGTTCTGCAGACCATGTGACCATGTGGGTGGAATAGTTGTGTTGGCAAAGTGTGTCATCTCAGCCACTATGTTTTCTGCAGTTGTTACTAAAAGCACCTTCATAGCTCAGTTGGTAGAGCAGAGGACTGTAAGAAGTTCCTCATATTAAACACTGTGATGCAAAGGTTGCTGTTTCAATTCCCGCTCAAAGCACCAGATTTCATTGCTTTGTCCAATGTTCAAGCCTTGTCTTCATCTTTCAGCTCCTCCAAAATGCAAAAACACAAACAAAGTAACTCCTGCCTAACTTTCCAACCATCATTTTTTCATTCACCCAGCCTAAAAGTCCTGATTATCAGTTCTGGGTCCCCTGCAATGACTGTTGGGTACAAACTGAGAAGCTGTGCTCTGCAGGTAGGGCTGGGCTTTTCATTGACCATCTGGGTCGAATAGTTGTGTGGGCAAAGTGTGATAGCTCAGTTGGTAGAGCAGAGGATTGTGGGAAGATCCTCATACGAAATGCTGTGATTGTAAGGTCGCTGCTTCAACTCTGTGTCAAAGGATTTTCTTTTAATCGGTTTGAGCAATGTTCTGGGTCTAATGACATTGAAATAATGCTTAGCCTTGTCTTTATCTATCAACTTCCTCACTTAAAATGTACAAACACAAATAAGATTACTCCTTCTTGCCCAGTGACCCTACAGAGCTTTCTCCTTACCAAGTCTTTCACATTATAATGTCTTTATTTACTTCACACTACTATATATATATATAGATATATATATATCAATAAAACCCCTTGAAGAACCAACTTTGACACTATTTTAAATGCATCTACACTTTCTTCAGTTTCAGTGCTAAATTTAACCACGGTTTAATAAGCTGAAAGCATAAAAGGTGCAATGCCCAAGTTTTAAAGTGAGCGTGTTATCTTTACTGCTCCAGGATACATACTGCATCCAAGGAATAAACACATACTTTAGGAAGCGTGAGATAGAGAAAAATGAGACTGCACTCTGTATGAAAAAAAGTACAATAAGTCGCCTGAGGGGGAAAACAACCCCCTCCCTTAAATCCATGAATATCTTCTGTGTCACTCCAAAATATCAAGCTTCTAAGTTTGAACTGAAGTAGTGAAGCTTCTAGATCAATAAAAACTAAGGGGGATCTTAAGGCCTTAGCGTCATTATTGTCATGACCACATGACTAAAAGAGTTTACTGTCAAAGATTAACATTTGACACACCTTTGAAAGAGATCAACACCACAAACAGAAAAATATCCAAACGCAGGGCTGAAGAGCTTCTTTGATGGCAGATAGAAATCTATGAGGCGAAAACATCAAACTGAGTCTGTCATCATTTACAAACCACAGCTTGAGCTGAGGACTCAGTGCCAAGTAATCTCTGTCAGAGAACAGTGTGATCAACAATATTAAGAACCCTGTGAAGATCCATAAATAGGCAGAAATAATTACCACTTTACACAGCGACTGTCAGTCCACCTGCCGCCTGATAGACAGGTCTTTTCATAGTCTGTACTTCCAGCTGTGACATAATGTAAAACACTGCATCACATCATACAGGAGCAACAATGCAGTTGTCTTCTGCATGTCTTTGCCCTGCTTTATCATTCTTAGTCTATCATTGTGTTTTTTATTCCTCAAGAGAATTAGGCTGCTTGCAACACTAAATGATATTTGATATCAACCTGCAGGATTTACAAAAAATATTCCAAAAAGCAAACAGAATTATCTTAAGGTGGATTAAGCGCAGTTTCTTCAAAGGAAAATATCTCACCTGCAAACCAAAATCCATCTGGTGTAGAAAAAAAAAGGTCTTTGAGGAAAGTTGTAACTATGCGGTAAGGATTTCATGTTATACTTTTGTAAATATTGCACTTTTTTATTAACTTGTCCAAAGTGCCAACTTTTAAATATGGCTGCTTGTTTAGTGGATTTCTGGACAAGATGTGCAGTTCTGCAGATAAATCACAATCAAAAATGTTCTTTACTCGACACACAGATCATTGGAGTTCATTTATTGATCTGATCCTGTTACAGAATTTGCTGTGCCATATATAGCAGTGAATTAATCACTCACAAAAAAAAAAAATAGTTGCAGGACTTCAATATGTATTTACAGCTTTGGACAGAGATGACTCCAAGTTCCCCTGTAAATCAATATTTCTACATAAGCTCAAGGTGCAAAGTATGCTGAAGATATCATTAAAAATAAGAGCCCTACTTTTCTAAATCAAAAGATTTAATGTACTCTATGCTTTAAAAATGAATATAGACATGCTTTTTTTCTTTGCATCAATTGTGGTTTTAATGAGCTTAACCAGTTCTCATTTTCTGCAAATAATGGACATAAATTAGATTTTTTTTTAATTAGGAAGAATGTTGTTTACATAACTCAAAACTGACTTAGGCACCAGCCTTTAAATATTAAAACCAGAGAGAAACATATTTTGCAGCAGTTTCTTTTGTTTCTGGGAGTTGTATGTCTTTTTCCGACATTTGATTGCAGTAATGAATTTCATGAAAACCACCCATGTGAACCAATAACTGGATCCAGGACTGTCACAATCTATGAAATTCACCCTCATGTAGATTGAAAAAGACATAACTGAATTTTCATCGATATCATTCCTAAACAAAGTGCCTTGAAGTTGGCCCATACTGCCTATTTACATCATTGTACATTTTATTTATCCTGTTGCTGTAACAATGTTGAAAAAACCTGCAAACAACGGATCTCTGTGCACACCACCTCAAGAGTCTATGATGACAGCAGTAAGAGCTAAAAGCTTGAAATCAAACACACAAAGGATGTAGCCCATGAAATGTTTGGATTAGAAAAGTGGATTAGAAGGCAAACATTCAATTATTCGTCTAAGACTTGCATACACACATTACTTTGAAGATGTTACAGGATTCAGCGCATGCATATTATGTTTGCCTTTAGGCATCATAAATGAAGACAAGCAGAGAGAGGGCTCCTCAGCCAAGTCTATTAGCAACAAGCCCATTAATCCTGCACATCAATGCATAACATAATCATAGACGCTTACTGATGTATATGCCTTATTTTTCAGTGTGCAGTTTCTGTGATATTCAGTATTATAGATTTAAACAATTCCTGCAAACTAGAGGCTTATGGCCACTCAGGGACCCAGCAAGTCTGCCCCGTTATTATGGTTTGCTGGTATAGTTGTCTCTATCCTGTTCCAACAAATGGATCCGCTGTAATCCAACCAAATGTCTCTGTTTATGCGTTTGGCAACGAACTGAGATGGTCTTTGACACCAGAGATTTCAAATGTTGCATTTCCAATGTAACTTTCAGTCATCACTTTGAGTGGTCTAAGTCCCACGTTAAGCCTGTATTCACTCTAAAAGCTCATTGGGGATGAACGTGGCAAAGCAACAAGCTGAATGCTAATGTGTAAGTGTTAAAATGCTAACAACAATTATAAAATACTGCTTCTTAACAAGGTTGTATGTGTACCACAGTCTGTATACAGCTGTTGGCCCACTGATTCATTGAAAAACAATTGTGACTATTGGGAATGGTTTTTGGTCTCAAACCAAAGTTCGGGTCAAAGCTAAACAATTGCCTCATGGTTTGCCTTGGAATAATTTACGTTCATATAGTCCATCCTCTGGACAGCAAGCATGGTTGAATTGAATTTTAATGCAAGACAAGCCAGTTGTTGCCATGGCATTTCACACAGTATCACTGATGTCAGCCTCATATTAGTGCTCACGGAAAAGGTCAAGCCTTATGGTACACTGTTGTAAACATGACATCGTTGGAAATGATAAAAAACCTGGCCTCAGTAAAGCTGTCACACAGAGGTGGACTTCAAAAGTCAAAGCTTGAAGGATGAGAAAAAAGGGAAAAATTTGGAATTAGGGAAATTCTGTGAATGAACCAACATTCACTGATTGTTATATAAACTTATTGCATAGTTATGAATTGTCATTTTAAGAAGAGGCAATGCTGAAATTTGATCTCTAAATACATAATACTCAGATTAAAGCTTTCATTTATGCAGCTGATGCGGTCTGCTTAGCCTGGTTCCTGCAGGAATGGAAAACCTGGGTGCTGTACTGTATACAAGGGCCAATTACAGTGGCTCATAACATCCCACCTCTTCCCAATTAAAGAAAGAAAAGTGCAACAAATGAAAAAACATTAAGCAAAAAGTCAAGATTCATATATGATTATGTATCATTGACGTATTTGCTGCCTCATTGCTTTTGACACATTTGTACTTTAGCTGTCAGATTTTTCATCACATCATTTTTCTGTTTTTGTATCTGTTTTGGACCGTGAAGGTGTCTTTGAGTTTCATCATCAGTAACAATTGTAATGTGTCCAACCTGTTAAGATTTCTTTTTCTAACAATATTTATATTCACAGTTTTGAGAAAAATTAACTTCTGCATACGGTGGAACTCAAGCAAAATGAGTTTAAAACCAACAATTTAAACAAACACTTGGCAATTCACAATCCAAGTCGATATCGACATAAAAAGTGTGTATTAAAGGTGGGGTGGGCAGGATTCTGTTAAAGAAGCATCTCTTTTTTTGTGGTGTATATACAAAAAAGCTTTTAATATCAGTCAATAGCTATTAGTTATTAATGAAATTTGGAAATGTCACAATATCGCTGTGTTTTGTTGTGTCTGTATAACCAACATTTGATTGGTTGTGAGGCAAACGCTGCTCCCCCGTGTCATTCACAAGCCCAAACAAAGTTAGCGTGCTTCAATATCGGACAGTAGAAACCAACCAGAAAGTACAGAAAATTGTCTGAATCCTCCTTTGGCCACGACCACCAACACAAGCAAGAAAACGAAGTAA